CACACAGCAGCTGTCGAGGAAGGGGGTGAGGGCCGTTCGGAGGACCAGAGGGAGGCTTTTGTGCTCTGCACTGCAGACGTTACCAAACTTAGAATCCCAGCTCACCCAGGCCTCCTTCCTGCAGCCTCCAGAGCAGAAAGGGAAATTTCCAGCTGCTGCTAGATGCTCATTTGTTTCCATTTGACCCTTAGGTTCCTGCCAGTGCGCCCAGGGGGGAGGGTGAGGAGAGGCTGCCTTGCCTCACTCACGGACCCAGCTGCGGAGGAGAGCCCAGCTGCAGGGGTGGAGCCAGCCCAGCGCACTGGCGCCCAAAGGCGGCTGGAGGGGCGGCTCCTTGCTGCTCACAGACAGGCCCCTTGTTCCCATGCCAAGTATGGCTCTTGGCCCAAGAGATTCCCAGCACAAGAGGGACTTTCTTGGGGCTCTCAGCCTTGCTATTTTTACACTCCGACTTGCAGGCCCTGCTTCTGGGACAGAACTGCACACAACGAAGTGGGCCACTTGGAAAGGATGCCTGTACCTTTCCACTCGCACCACTGAACTTCTTCTCCTTGAAGGCACCTTCAATAAGAGGCAGGGATGCGGTGATGACAGGACAGAAGACCGTAAAGCTTCTTAGGTGTGAGACCCTGTAGGGAAGGCGGGGGGGGAACAAGTGGGATCTCAGCCTCCGCTGTGTGTCTGGGGGTGTAATTTGAAGCTCAGGCTTCTAACAGGAGAGGCTGCAGATCCACAGACCAGCTGAGGTGGCCTCAGTTTACTGGATGCAGATTCAATGAGGGAGGTGAAGGAGGGAGGCCCCTACGCAGAGCCTACAGTGGAAGTGTCCTGGCACTGAGGCACCCAGGCTCCAGGCTGGACCTTGGTGTGGTCAGTTACCAGCTCTGTAACCCTGGTCAGGTCAGCAGGCCTCAGACTCGAAGCCATTGTGTTCTTTCTTTTGTCCCCATCCCCATATACTCACGTTCTAAATTCCCCCAAGCTGACTATAACTGATCTTACTCGGGTCTCTGAAAAAACAGCATCCATTTCTACATTGGGACCCAGTTTACCGCCTTGGGTTTAAACCTACTGCTGTCCTCTCTGGCCTTAGATACGGGATAACAGCAGTGCACCCTTCATAAGGCCGCAGTGGACACCCCATGAGTCCCCACAGTAAAGGAGCTGGGCGAGTCAGCCCCCAGTCTGTGCCAGTGCGCCTGTGACTTCCTGCTCCTGTCAGCGCTGCTGTCATTACCAGCCCCTGAGAACCTCGTGGCAGCATTAAGAGAGCTTGGCTTTGAACCGCAAAGCCTGACTTCCTATCTTGGCTGCACTGTCCTTGCCTTCTGGCGGGTTGATGTGAGCATTAACTGACCCCTGTTTTTTCAAGGAAAATCATACATACAAGACCATTATTTAAAACAGGTAAAAATGGTGCTGCTATGGTCAAAAGGGGCTTCCCAGGTGGCACTCGTGGTAAAGAACCTGCCTGCTGATGCAGGGGACATAAGAGACGCAGGTTCAGTCCTTGGGTCGGGAAGATCCCCTGGAGAAGGGAATGGCAACCCACTCCAGTACTCTTGCCTGGAGAATCCCATGGACAGAGGAGCCTGTGGGCTACAGTCTGTGGAGTCACAGAGAGTCAGACAGGACTGAAACGACTTAGTGTGCACGGTCAGAAGACTCTGGACAGGCCTGGAGTTCCACCTGCCAGCAACCCTGTCCTTCCTCCTAATCTAATAACATTCGAAAACCACTGACCTATTGAATAAGGTCCAGGGTACTTATTTAAATGTGCATATAGTTCTGTATCGGAGAACTCAGCAAATCGGGGCTTTGAAGATTAAACAAAATGAAGGGTAGCAGCACTGACGTGCCCCAGAAGGCACGTTTCTTACGATTCCTTTGGAACCTATCAATGAAAAAAGAAACACAATCTCAACTCCAGACCAAAACTCTTCCTAGTTTATCACATCTTATTTCTTTTTGTCCACAAGAACATTCACATACACCATCAAAGGAAGTAGATGTTGCTCTTAATGAGAAGCTCATTTTCCAGAGTATTCTGTGAAGTTGCTCAGTTTTATGAGATTGCACAGATCTGATTTCTTCAGGATTCCTCTCTTGCCAAGTGCCAAGTTCAATTCCCATCATTTGGGACTTCATGCATTTATTTCTCCCTCTTCCTCTCTTCATTCTTCTTTCCTATCTTCCTTTCTTCTGTCTGTCCATCTGTCCATCCATCTGCCATCTCTCCACCATTCATCCGGCTCGTTGTTATTGAACACCTGCTATGCTAGGTGTTGGGAATAGGATGGTGAACATGACAGGGATGCTGTCTGCCTGCCCTCATGGGACTTACATTCCTTACAAACAGTATAGAGTGATGTGGAAGAGATTCTCTAAATGGTTCTGAGCTGCTAATTGCTAATTGTATTGTAAACGTTCCCACCTCACTTCCTCCACCATCATCTCATCATCAATTTTTAGCAATGAAATAACCCCCTTTTAATTTTTATTCACCTGATGCAAAGAGCTGACTCATTTGAAAAGACCCTGATGCTGGGAAAGATTGAGGGCAGGAGGAGAAGGGGACGACAGAGGATGAGATGGTTGGATGGCATCAGCGACTCAATGGACCTGGGTTTGGGTGGACTCCAGGAGTTGGTGATGGACAGGGAGTCCTGGCGTGCTGCGGTTCATGGGGCCGCAAAGAGTCGGACACGACTGAGCAACTGAACTGAATTTTTATTCCAACAAAATGTCAGCAGAAACTCAGCATTTAAACCAAATATAAGTGACTGGATCTGATTGAAGACCGAACAACCCAATTCCTGCCCTGTAGCCCCAGGCCCCTTTCCATCACCTCAGACAGCCAAACTCGAAGGCTGCCAACCTTGGTCTCTCCCCTTGGTCTGACATGTTATCATGTTCTCATAGTTCATGATGGCATGTAGCTATCCTTCGTGGATGCTAGTGTCCCAGCTGTAGAGACAACTAGGACATGTGTAAATTCAGGCCCTCGGACCTTAAAAACCACAGAAATGCTTACTAGCGCCCTCCTTTTGTTCTTTTATTAGTTTCCATCTTGAGCTTGTTGTCTGTGAGCTGCTGGAACTCGAGAAGGGGACACCCTTGGTGGGGTTTTCTCCAACTGACTCCCAAGACCTGTGTATTTTTTCCCCATCCTAGTTGAAATACTGACGATAAAACAACAGCAGAAACAACCCTCACACCCCCTAATAAGGAGACAAGACAGAGGAGTGTATGCACATATTTGTTTCAAGTTGTTTGTGAAAGATGTGGGTAACTTGAAATTATTTAATCATGCTTAATTTCCTGTAGGGGGAGGGGAAGTTTCCATCATAATTTGAGACAAGCGGCAGTCTTGTCTCTGACAGATTTAAATGAGAAAAGCAAATGCTGGGTTGCCAAACACCCTCATGAATGCACATCTGTGTCGTCATCTTAATCAGCTTCTTTGTCTGGCTTCTTTTTCTCATCTTGCGACGGTAGCAGTCTCAGTGACCTGATGCGGTGACATTCGCACAGGGCAAGGCCAGCCTACTTCCTTTGAGTTCGTGTACTGGCTCCAGCCTCTTACGAATGACACATTGGGAAGGGCCTCTCCTTAGAATAAAGTGATCCCCAAATGTAGAGTGCAAATTGATTATGTTTTCCTACCTATGTATATTCATCCAGCTGCTTGCAATTTCTCCATCATGCCTCTCTCTCTGGATTTCTTACTGTGCTTCCTGTTCTCTCCTCTCTTCTCTAGTACTTTAGCTCATTTTATGAGAAAGCCCAAAATGAGATATTTAAAAGCAAATAATTATCCAGTAAACTAATAAGATATTGATATGGTCCAGAGATGGCAGAAATTGCCCAGTAAATGTATTTTATTTGTCCCACCCTGCCCCCACCCCCACCCCGCACACACACACAGTGCCTAAAGAATTATTTTTTGAATTTAAAGGCCTTTGGACTTGTACATGCTTACTGGTTTGCCACATAGCTCAGTTGGTAAAGAATCCTCCTGCAATGTAGGAGACCCCAGTTCGATTCCTGGGTTGGGAAGATCCACTGGACAAGGAATAGGCTACCCACCCCAGTATTCTTGGGCTTCTCTTGTGGCTCAGCTGGTAAAGAATCCACCTGCAATGTGGGAGACCTGGGTTCAATCCCTGGGTTGGGAAGATCCCCTGGAGAAGGAAAAGGCTATCCGTTCCAGTATTCTGGCCTGGAGAATCCCATGGGCTGTATAGTGCGTGGGGTTGCGAAGAGTTGGACACGAATGAGCAACTTTCACCGGTTTGCCACAGTCCCCACCATTCTCTATTGTGCTCCACACTACGCTCCTTCCTGTATTTACATTACTGATCTGTTTCTTAGAGTTCCTTTTTGAATTCCGAGGCTGTTTCAGTCTGTCTTCTTTGGGAATCTTCTGTGTACAGTTTGGAATTCCAGAGTGTTACAAAGACATGGCTGCTTTTAGATGTTTACCATCAAATGGGAGGAGTTGTTAAAGCAAAGATAACAAGTGCAGTACTCATAAATCCAGCGACTCATCCAGAAAGCAAAGAAAACTAGAATTGTACTCATTGCTGGGGGTGTGATCCCAAACAGTAAGTCTTACTAATTTACAGAGGGGTTCAGCAGATTTTGTGTGTAATCTTGCAAATTTTGTTTGAGTAGTTGATTCTGACTAATGGAGCTTTAGCCTGTTCATAGGGTCCTTGGAACTATAAAATGACAATAATGGGTCCTTTTATATCCATGTTATCAAGTGTCAACCTTCCAGTTCTCTCTTCCTTTCTGTATTCTCCTTCTTACCATCCTTGGTGTTTGTAGGATGGCTTTAGTTCTCATTTGGGCCATGGACACATCTGCCTGCGGAATTCTCCTCACTATTGGAACTAAGACCAGGAGACTGTAGTTGTTTCTTCTTTTAATAAAACCCTGTCTCTCTCTCTCTCTCTCTCTCTCTCTCTCTCTCTCTGTTCTCTTTCATTTTCTAGCAGATATATGGAGTGACCACTCCTTTCAGACTGATCCAGATTTGCCACCTGGCTGGAAGAGAGTCAGTGACATCGCTGGGACCTATTACTGGCACATACCAACAGGGACGACTCAGTGGGAACGCCCTGTCTCCATCCCAGCAGATCTTCAGGGTTCAAGGAAAGGGTCCCTTAGTTCTGTAACGTCATCTCCCACCCCAGAGAACGAGGTAAAATGGAGTGTCTTTTTAATGGTTTAGTAGAGTGGATGTATCTTGTGATTTCTCTTTAGACTCATTGCTTCTGCCCCAACAGGTCATCAAGGTAAGCGTTCCGATTTTTATGCATGTTGCATTTGAAACCTCTGAAATGCTTCCTCTTCGTGAATAGTGTTAATATCATCTTTCAGGGATCTTTTTATTTTTTAATGGCTTTTGGTCTCTTTAAATACCATTCCAGGTACAGAAAGTAAGAGAGGCTGATTAATGAGAAGTGGTTAAGATTCCCTGGGGCGCACTGAGGCAGTACTTGACTCTGTAGGTACCACTTCACACTGCTGGTTCCATAAAATATTTACACGAGGAAGAGCGTCTCTTGGCCTGACGTGTTATAATTACCACACATCTTATTAATATCCATGGGCTCATTTGACTGCACGGAGAGAATGTCTGCAGGAATAACCCTTGAGAACCCTTAAATGTTTAATTCCTAATAAAAAATAAAAAAAGAGAATTCTGTTTATTTAGCGGAAGTGACATTATTTTAGACATAATTAGCAGCAGAAATTTGTTCTGTCCCTGAGGAAGAAATCTGATGTTTAAACAAAGAATTGAGGCATTAAAAAAAATTCCATCATGATAGTTGTTAATACGGAAACTCCTGCAGTGAACCTTTGTGAATCCTGATAACAAAATATTCAAGAGAATTACAGTGGGAAAAGGTCACAGTTAAGTAATGGCTTTTTTTTGAGAAAAGAGGTTTGATTCCTGGCACACAGGCACTTCTGCCTTTTCCCTGACCACAGTCTTTTGTTCTTTAAACAACTTATTTTCTTTTACTTTGAGGACATGGAAGGAATTTGAACTGCATCTCTTACCTGAAAGCCTCTCTACATATTTGCTGCTATTATTACCCTTCCTGTCTTTAAAAGTAAACAACATCTTCCATTATTTACTTGCTCTTCTCTAGGAGGCAGGAAGACCTACATTCCAACCACATTCTTGCTGTTACTGGTCTTTAGCATCTCACTCACTCCACCTGGGCCTCAAACTCTCCATCTTTCAAGTGCCGGTTAGGGCGAGCTATGACCCCCTGTTGATAGACTGGGGCTTCGGTTTGTTGGTACGGGGCCCTGATGGTCAGACACCCGCTTCAGTTCCACTGAACCACTTAGGATTTCATTGCTTATCACTGGGCAGTTTTGATCATTTTTTTTATTAGCATAATATTCCTCCTCCCAGAGCAAATCCCATTCAGTCTGTTATTCACCTTGTGTGAGGTGTGCTGGGAGGTGGAGATGAACCAACTTCAGCCTACCAGGAAGTGGAGTCCTCCTCCATGCCAGCCCAGGTGCCTCTTGGCATTTCTCCCTGGGCCTCAGAGCGGCTCCCGGGAGCCGAGTGGGCCCGGACACCCCTGGGCCCTCAGTGAGACGCAGGGGTCCTCTCTCATCTTCCCCTGCACTGCTCGGCATCTCTGTTAGAGGCTCTCCTATTGCACCCTTTACCATCCTCACCGCCAGGGAGAGCCCTGCAACCTGAGAATGCCAGGGTGGGGAGGGGGCGTCCGGCACCAGTGTCCATCCATCACATGCAGGGAAGCCGAGGCAGAGAGGCCAGTGGTCGGCAGCCACGCTGGGTCCAGAACTCAGGGTTCCCAGATCCTCCCGACTCACGGGGCTTCCCCGGCTGAGATTTCAGCCCACCTGCTTTCTCTTTGTCCAGAGGTGAGATGATCAGACTGAGTTTGAGAGACTTTCTGTTCAGTGAGCCTCTCGTCTTCCGTATATGGAAGAAATGAAGCTTGTCTTGAAGCCCGCATCCTGCGGCGTGGGTGGGGTGAGGCCCAAGGTGGGCATCTTGGGGTTTAAGTGACTCAGATGTTTTACTTCTGTGATTAACGTGGGAGACTTTTTGTTTTCATATTTTCTGCATAAAGTCTTGGGAAGAACGCAGCGCAGGTGGGCTGCTGACCCCGGGGAAGGTGATCAGGTGGCAGAGTCCACATTCGCATCCCTGAGCCTCCTTCTGACACCCACTGTCACCTGCTCTGCCCCCAGTCTTGCCTCCTTCCCTCCCTTCCCCCCCCACCACTGCCCAGCCCCCTTCCCAGCTCAAACTATGTCCCAAGGCCTGTCTGCCTGCCCACCCACCCAGTTCCTCTCCTGGAATTCAGTATTTCCATCACATCTGCACTGCTCGGCCTCCCAGCGGCTACTCATGACTTATTGTAGCTTTCAGGGTATTTTCATAAATGTCACTTCATTTGTTCCCTTCAAGACTCTTCATGTGGCAGAGAACACAGCTGTTCTGTTTCCCACTTTTAAGAGGTAACTGGGACTCAGTGAGCTGAGTAACCAGGTCAGGGTGGGCAGATGCCCAGTTCTCAATTCCAGATCCTGTGGTCTGCCCCAGTACTGGGTGAATTTCCACCTTGAAGTTGGTTCTGTTCCTCTCTTCTGTAGCCATCATGTTGGATAAAGTCTTATCCCTCCAAGACACATGTTAACAGATGTGTAGCTTTTTGACATTTCAGAGACAGGCTCATACCCAGCACTTTAATAAACGAGTGGCATGATTGTCTTCAGGTCAACCTTTTGATTGTTTGCTCCATACACATTGCTCCCTGTACATATGGCCATCCACAGAGTCAAAGAACCAAGCAGATATAAAGGGCAGTACATTGAAATCCTAGGGGCAGAGGGATAAGCAGGTAGCAGAGAGAAGAGGTTGGGGGAGACCCAGCCTTCCCTGTTCCCAGGTGCTGACAAGGGTATTAAAGCAGAGATGCTAAGGGGAGTCAAGTATTTACAGCACCAGCCTCATGGCTTGTCTCCTTACTCCTCAGAAAGCCCTGTGTATCTGTACAATAGTTGTCATTCCTTTTTTATATTTGACAACCCACATGGAGACGTGAGGGAGCTTACCCAGAATTACACACCTGCCCCCTAGTGGAGGCAAGCCTGAGTGGAGGTGTGCTGGCCCCTGGCCTCACCCCAGGCTTCACCCTGTGTTTATCAGGGGCTTTGGAGAGCCTTGGATGTCTTCATCTCACTCCAGGGGAGAGTGGTTACATATGCAGAGCCATCTAGAAAATGACTTCTTTTCATAACATTGTGTTGTTGTTCAGTTGCTAAGTCATGTCTGACTCTTTGCGACCCCATGAACGACAGCATGCTAGGCTTCCTTGTCCTTCACTATCTCCTGGAGTTGGCTCAAACTCATGTTCATTGAGTTGGTGATGCCATCCCACCACCTCATCCTCTGTCATCTGCTTCTGCTCCTGCCTTGTCTTTCCCAACATCAGGGTCTTTTCCAATGAGTCGGCTCTTCGCATCAGGTGGCCAAAGTATTAGAGCGTCAGTTTCAGCATCAGTCCTTCCAGTGAATATTCAGGGTTGATTTCCTTTAGGATTGACTGCTTTGATTGCCTTGCTGTACAAGGGACTCTCAAGAGCCTTCTCCAGCACCACAGTTCAAAAGCATCAATTCTTTGGTATTCAGCCGCAGGTGCTAATAACAGTTGAGAAAAAATGGTTATTTCTCTAATGCCATTTCTTTGATCCCTAAATAGAATCTATTTTGACTAATTTGGAAACATGAGAGAAAGCAAAATGTTAAGGGTGAGAAGAAACTTGTAATATGTCGTGTTAGAAATGCATATTTTTATACAGCTTTTTCCTGAGCTGGCTTTAAAAAAAAAGTAAGTGCCAAATCTGTTGACTAAGCTTCACAAAAGCCTAGGACTGAAGGCTTCCTTACAGTTTGAAAATTGTACATTTCACATTCCAAAGTTCACCAGGGAAGTGTTAAGTGCAACGCATAGTGTTTCCTCTGCAGACGCCAGCAGTATTTTTGCAAGTTTATAAACTGGACGGGAAGCACTTGCCGCTGAAATTTGGCCCAGCAACGGTCTCCCCCCAATCCATCAGTTTGTTCCAACTTACTTAGATGTTGCGTCTTAGAGAGAAGAGGGAGCTCCACAAAATATCTTAATGAGTAACTGTTGGCCCGTGAGCAAGTCTTCCCTAGACTCTTCCCAGCTGAAGGCGTTCCCAGTTCCTTAAGAATAAGGGCAAGGAGGGAAAAGTGGCCTCAGAGCAAGGAGGGGCCCAGTCGTTTCAGGACTGTGATCTAACTTTGTGTTCCTGCTGCATCTCTCCTGGTGTCTGGGAGGTGCCTGTGCAGCTAAGTCCCCAGGAGAACAGTGTCCGAGCATTGCTTTGGAACCTGAGGATTTTCACGTCCATTGAGAAATAAGACGGCAGCATAAAGGGACCGGTCTGTCATCATTTTCCTGAACTTCTTGACCTGCTCACGGAGCCTTGATATTTCAGAACTGGTAGGGACCTTCGAGCTACGGCAGTATTTCTCAGCCCATTGAACCAAGGGCTGTGGCCAGGGTAACCTATGGGGCTTGCAGAACATGCTGACTCCTTGGTCTTACCCTAGGCCACTGAGCTAGACTCTCTTTAAGGCTGAGGCCTGAGAATCTGCCTTTATCACATGCTTTGGCCCCACCCCCAAAAGGAGGGGTGCTTCCCTGGTGGTAGCTCAGATGGTGAAGAATCTGCCTGTGATGCAGGAGACCCAGGTTTGATCCCTGGGTTGGGAAGCTCCCCTGGAGAAGGGAATGGCTCCATTATTCTTATCTGGAGAATTCCATGGACAGAGGAACCTGGCAGGCTATAGTCCATGGGGGTTCAAAGAGTTAGACACAGCTGAACAACTTGCACTTTTCCAAAAAAGGGGGAAAAAGAAAATCTTATGCTTTCCAGGAAATTTTATGCCGAGGGATTACAAAAGCTGGTCTTCTAGTGCATCTAGTCTGTTTTTATTTATGTGTCACTTCTGCTTAAATACTTTGGTCTTAGCATCTCCTGGGAATCATTGCTCTCGTTTGCCTACTTTCTGAGCCCTTTGATCTTCATTGCATTGTGTCTCTTTGTAGTATTCTTACTTTAGGTATGTCAGCCTCCCTTTTTGATGGTTTGGGACCTACCCCCCCTCCCCCCATCTCGCATCCTCAGCACTTGGCACAGTGCCTGGTATGTGGCAACGTTCATTAAATATTTGCTGAATGAAGGAATAAACTGGCTTCGTAGCGGGAGGGAGCTCTTCACTGACTTACTGTAGCCACAGAGCCGGCACTAGAGCCCAAACTCTCCTGATTTTTCTGTAGTTTATAGTTTCTAAATTGTGCTACTACTCACATAGACTAATTTAATTCCACAAGCATTTGTCAATCTGTTTTCTAGTTAGATTGTTTTAAAAAACTGCTTGTATTATGTTTGCATGACAAACCATAACTGTTCTTTTGATAGTGTTGCATCCAACAAAACATAGAAAGCAGTTTTAAAAGAAGGAAAAAATAAACCCATGTACATGGATACAGTGCTCATTAACACTGACTGGCCTATTCAGAATTCCAGAATTCCAGGTGCTCTGCCATTTATGATCAAGACCACAGCTCAAATCTTGACAGAAGAGGATTATGAAACATAATTGATAATGCTCTCTAGTCCTTGGGCTCTCAAACATTTTGTTCTTAAATGCCTTTTTTTATTTTCTCCGTGGCAAGAGTAGAGGATAAGGACAGTGCTGTTTCCTGGGCACCTTCGGGCAGCCAGCCCCTGCGCTAAGGGCTCACATTCTTGACCTCATGGCATCCACGCTCTGGTGGGAAGTCTCTTTAGCCCTGTCTGATATGTAGGGAACAGTTCACAGAGCAGGTGAGGGCAGAGGCAGGGTTTGAACCCGAGCTTCCCAGACGGCTGTGTTGACTTCATAGCTTCTGAAGAGCGTGCAGAAGTGATGTGATCATGGCTTCATCAAGACCACTGTGGAATGTTCATGTGCTTTCCTGTCCGCCCAGCCATCAGCGGGTTCAGCCCTTCACTCTTGCGCTCCAGTTTGCATGTTGATACCACTTCATAGAGACGTTCGTAGCACCTCCAAGGACTTTCTCATCCCCTTGGACCCCATCCTCAGGAAAGCTCTGTTGATCTTGTCAAAGGATCAGCTCTTAGTTTTCTTCCAGCAGAAGGACAGTGCATCATTTTTGTTTGATTTGAGGAACTGCTTTCTGAGATCCTGGAAGAGAAATCTGGAAGAAGAAAACTCTCAGTAGTCGAAGTCACAGAGTCAGATTACCTTAAGGGGTGATGAAGAGCGCCGTGCTGAAAGGTCGTGAAGGGTCACGGCAGGTGCCACGCCCCAGGTGCCGGGTCAGTCCCCCAGCGCTCAGATTTTGGGGCTCTCAGACCTGAGCATGACCACCATAATCAGGATAAGGGCTGCTGCAGCCTGGCCAGAGTCATGGCAAGCACCAGGAGAGTGTGTGCCCACCATGATAGTGACACCAGCCTCTCTCAGCTGTGCAAGGCTTTTTAGCTGCATTGCCTGAGAGGTGATCAGTTAGAGGTTGTTGCTCACAGAGGATGGTCTCTGTCCTCCCTTTATCTCTGTCCTATGTCTGTCTTTTCTAGGACATGTTATGCCACCTGCCTTTTCCTCTTACTATCTTTCTCTTTTCTTTCATCCCTCACTCCCATCACCCAAACTACAGACTTTCTGTAGAACCCAAGCATCTCTGTTGATTTCTTTTTTCTTTAAATTACTAGCTAAAATGTTGTATTCTCTCTTCATTAAAAAAAAAAAAAACAGATGAATAGGCGATATCGTTCTTAAAATTTAGACAAGTTGTTTTGTCCTTCATTGCCCTTGATTTTAAAAAAGAAAAATTATGGTCACTTATGTGAAGGAGAACATTTCTCATCTTCATTGTCAGTGAAAATTTTAAATTTGGGAGGGAAAAAAAGACTCTGGCTTGTTCATAGTAAATAACACTAGTTTCCATTTTTCTTTGCTTGAGTTCCGTGCTAAAGGGTTTATTTAGGAATACTTACATGTTATTTTAAGATTTTGCAAAATCACTGTATATCACCTTTGTTTATTTAAATCTATGAAAGGTGATTGTAGGAAGTTTGCCCGTTGACTCATGTCTCCGTAGCATGAGAGCTGAATTCATACAGTCTTAGACGCATAATCAACTTCTACTTTGCAGGGACTCCTGCATCCAAAGAGTAAATATATATGTAAAAAAATTTAAACCCACACGTACAAAGAAATGTTTGATTAAATGCCAGAGGCCTTTTCTGAATACTTGTTTTTAAAAATGCCCTTCTTTCACTCTCTATAATCCCAGCACAGTGTTTTTGGAGTATGATTTCTGATTTCAGATTACTTTTGTCAGACACATGCCTTTTAAAAAATTTTCTTCACGAGAATGCAGTTAGGGGTAGAACACAAAACCCCACACCCATGTTAGGGGGTTCATAGGTCCCCCCAACTGACAGGTTGAAGATTTTGCTGTAGTATTTTCTCCTCAGTGAAAACTGAACACTTTTTGGAGGATGGAGAGAGGAGAGGTGAGGGGCTGGGCAACTTTCCTGTTCCGTGCTCGGTAAAAGAGGTCATTTTAAAAAATAAATAGACACAGCGGTCTAAGTTGAAAAAACTGCAGGGCAGCTGCCTAATCCAGAAAAGAAAGCAACAGTAATGCCAGCTGTGCAGTGATGATAGATCCAAGTTTGCAATGATTTTTCCCTCAGAGAGGCCTTCAGAGCCAAATAAATGCATTTGTCAACACCTGGGACATTTGAACTCGGCCACTTCTGTTCTGAGTGGCTTTGAAAATTGTATTCATTGTGTGCCAAAGCTATGGGTCAATACTACCGTCTCATTTTCAAAGAACTTTAGTTGAAAAGTTACTTAGTGGAAGAGTTTCTCCCGTTAACTTATTCAAGAAAAGAGATCTGCCTGACAAATCAGTGGAACAAGTTCATGAGAGTGTACCTGGGTGTCTTATTAGTATCATTTAATTCCCCAAACGTCACATGGAAAATATTTGAATATTCAGTTAATGGAATAGAAAGAAAAAAGATGTTCTCATGTTATCCAAGGTTAATAAAGGAAGGAGTCATTTAGATTCTAGGTCTATTGTAAGGGGTTTGCCAGCAAGGCAAGGCTTCACGCTTTGTCCTATAACTATGTTTAGGAAAGCATTTTGTGATCGAATATTAATTTGTGAAGAGGCTTGGGTGGCAAGGAGGTAGAGCTTTGTATGAATGAGGGGAATTTACATTAGATTGTCTAGACTGTTTTTTTATTAGATTAAATCTCAGCAAGATGAGGTCAGGCAGGGTTCCTTAGCCTCCTTTGTTATTGTTTTTTTCCTAAGTGGAGATAATTTGGCCCCTAGTTTTGTTATGCCCTTAGCTATGGACACTCCCCAGTTTTCAACCAGCTCATTGACCAGCATACCTCAAGAAAACAGTTCTTTGGTCAATAGAAGAGAAAAAATTCTTATGGAATTAGGTATGCAAGGCCTTTAATACTTTGATGCATATTGTGTGCTTTTAAGACCACATGTAGACAGTAACTTCACTGTCTGGTAATAACGTTCAGCCGTTTGTCTTGGTGAGTAATTAAAGCGCCCCCCTGCCCTGGGCCTCTAGTGACGATGTGGATCTAGGGGGAGCAAGCTACGTGTTGCTGTCGGAGTGAATTTGTTCCCTAACCCATCCGTGAATATCAATGCTAACAACAGTGTCTTGTGTGTGTGTGTGTTTTCTTTTCTTTTCTTTCCTTTTCTACCTTTTATTATTTTCTTTTTTTTTTTTAAATCAATGTGCTTTTTCCTATGTGAATAATTATATGTCTAGAAACAGCCATGGAGTGATTTTGCTGTTCTGAATGGGGGAAAGATTAATAGTGACATTTGGAAGGCAAGTATATGGTCAGATTTTAGCTCATTCAATATCTTGTCCTTTTTGCATGGCTGTGGCATCTTTGTGAACATCATGCATTCTGCAGGGACGGACTGAGGGGCTTCTGGCTCAGGCGGTGGGGCTCACACATGTCGCTTTTTCTGATGTCTCCCATTGTGAATGACTTCAGACTGGTCGCCCCAGGTTCCTGCTGTCTTGTAAGAGCTGGCATTTGCACTGAGCCGGCATCAGCAGCCCATGCATGCCTTTTTTTCTGCCTGAGCTCACGTACACTCTCTGCCTCGCACTGGGAGGACCTCTCTCCCCTCTGATATCTGAGGCCGCATACTAGGCCTTCTGCCTTTCTGCATTAACAGGGATCTCATTTCCTCTAGGATTTGCATGCGGCCACAGTCAATCCGGACCCAAGTTTAAAAGAGTTTGAAGGAGCCACCCTACGCTATGCATCCTTGAAACTCAGGTAAGACGTTGGACGCACCCTCCAGGAGGTGTGGCTTTGTGCAGCTGGAGATTGCAATAGAATCCTAAGTTCCATTTTCTGTTTTTCTTTCTAGAAATGCTCCACATGCCGATGATGATGATTCTTGTAGTATCAACAGTGACCCAGAAGCTAAGGTTTGTAAGAAATGTGCTTTCAGTGACCAGGCTGTATTCTTGCATCAGAATAATGACTTGGGATAACGGCCCAGTTTTTACAAACTATCGGCCCAGTTTTTACAAACTATCAACCCAGAGCCACTTAATAAGCAATTATCCCTGAGTCCTCTCTGGTTCCTAATCTCCCTCACACTTAAAGTAAATCCTTTCGGCCAAGTTAGATTTGGGAGGGTTTCTGTAATCATCACAACTCTGCTTAGTATCTCACTCCATCAATTCTTTGTGCAATGTGATAAGATTATTGTTTGAACAGGTGGGCTCCAGAAGCCTTTGAAGATAAGCCAGGCTCTGCCCTGTAATGCAGAGGACGGGGAGTTGAACAGGTGCTTGGACCCCTCACGCCCATCTCCTGCAGGGCAGCCTCATCCATATGCACAGTGGAAGCTCCTTGCCATCCCTGTCGTAAACACTGGCCTGCTTTATGTGGACCGTGAGAGGGAGCTCGCTCTGGACTTCTGGGCTGGGTGTGAGCTGTTACAGTTGCCCATTGGCCCCGAGAGTCAAGGCCCTGTGTTGCTCTGTGCAGCCGCCCACCGGATGCTCTTGAAGCTTTTGCCTTGGGCTTTGCGTTCTCTAAGCAACGTCCAGTGAGGCGGTGGAGCGTGCGCTGGGGGGCTGGAGCCTTGGCTGATGCGCAGTCCTGCCACCTCCCTACCTCTGCTTCTCGGCTACCTGTTCCCCTTTTCTTGGCACCTCAGGCTCTGCCAGCCTCCCTATCCCTGCCCCTACCCACCCCTTGTTGTTGCCTTCAACCCCTGTATGGGGCTGGGTGTGAGCGTGGGGAGGGTTGTGCCGGGCACATGGTCTCCATAGTGTCTTAGGAAGGAGCCAAGTAGTGACCTGCCCAACCCGGGCAGACAGCCTAGCGATGTGTTCAGTGGGTGACACCGTGGGGCCCCGCCCACTCCCAATCCAGGTACCTAGCATCCCCCGACACAGATGTTATAATAGGCTGGAGAGTCATCCGTTTACTGTGAGCTGGGGTGGTGGGTCCATGGGAAAGGGGATTCCTGGCTCAGTTTCCCCACTCTTGGCCAGGGCATGGTACATCAGCCCAGCAGCTGATGGTCTATGGGGATGAGCGGCCTGTGGTGGTCTGCACTCACCCTGTAAGTATCCCCATCCTCAAGAGAGCACAACACTGAATAAATGTAAAAAAACCATTAGAAATCTAGAGAAAGAATGAAGAAGAAAGGAAAAAGCTTCATGTCAATACTTTTTTATAGCTCTTTTCCCACTGCTTTTTAACACATTTTCATTTGCATCTTATGTAGCAGGACCTAGATACTCTTCTGAACGCCAAAGCAGATCTGTGTCTATGCATAAAACAGCAAATAGATTCCTATAGCAGTAGTTAAGTGGGGAACACCACCCAGGTTCAAAACCTTGGCTCCTACGCTAGAAGCTGCCATATTGCCATTGGTTCTGTGAGAATCCCAGGGCTTGCAGTTGAAATCTCCGTTGCTCTTAATTTGCGGAGCTTGGTTCTAAGCACATACTGGTTGGATGATGGCTGCTCCAGAGCCAGTGGGGTTCAGAACAAGTTCTTGGTCTGCTGCTGACACCCTGACCTTTAAAGATAAATTGTATGGTGTGAAAGGGAAGGAACGCAGTAACACAGGAAGGTGAGCTGTGAATAATTTGCTTTTCTGCCAGGTGTTTTACAAGGGCTGTCAGCAAAGGCTGGAGGAAGAAGGGTGAGCAGCAGTATTATTTTGCTTTACCCGGAAGGGCTAGACCATTGATGTCTGTAAAGCTGAGTGTGAAAGTGAGAGGGACCAGGAGGAGGATGAACAGAAAATGCAGATCAAATTAGTAACAGGAATAGGAGGCCTGGCTGAGCTGTTACCTAAGATGACACTTTCTCTTTTTCCGCCCAGTTTATTGCTTACTGAATCCTTGATCTTCTCCTGTTCTATCGCCAGCATGTCTATTCCAGCACCTATTAGGAATTTGTGTGAATAAGGAGGCTCAGCTTTCTCACAAGTAACTGAAGTTGTACTTAGTTCAAAACAAAAAGTATGTGCATTGTATTATTTATTTTATATCCTTCTTTGTTCCATAAAAGATCTGAGGAGGCTTATAAGAACACTTAGAAGCCACAGAAAACATAATGGAATAATCAGTGCATCTGTCTGTACTGGGACAGTAGATGGAATTAGGACAGATCAGACTGGGGAGAAGGAAAAAGCATGGTTTTTCAGTGTATAGGACTTGGCACAGTTGTGAACATTGACCTTTGGGTTCATTTTTGTGCCTCCTGGTGACTATTTACATTGAGGATTCTGACAGTAAATGGTATGAATTCCTGTAAGGGCATCTCAGAATCCTGTAAGAACTTCTGCAAACAACACATGCTTCTAACTCTCCCACCCCACCCTAGATTCTGAAGGTCCCCCTGCTATAGAGAGTCACTGGCACTCTTGGGGACCCCAGGCCTGTTGGGAGGAGAGAAGGGTTTCAGACCCCTGCCTTCTATGCCTGCACTGTGCATGAGCTGGAAGCATCTCAGGTCCTTATGGAATGTAACGGATTTTCCAGGGCTCTATTATAAAACACTTGTAATAATGAATGTTTATTGAGTACTCACCTGCCTTCTATGCCTGCACTGTGCATGAGCTAGAACATCTCAGGTCCTTATGGAATGTAATGGATTTTCCAGGGCTCTATTATAAAACACTCATAATAATGAATGTTTATTGAGTACTCACCTGCCTTCTATGCCTGCACTGTGCATGAGCTAGAACATCTCAGGTCCTTATGGAATGTAATGGATTTTCCAGGGCTCTATTATAAAACACTCGTAATAATGAATGTTTATTGAGTACTCACTTTTTGCCATAATCCTAAAGACTTCATTGCTGTTAACTCTCATCCTCACAAAAATTTAAGGGACTCAGTATCATTATTGTAGATAAGGAAACTGAAGCATCGGAAGTTAAGCAGCCAGTTAAAGAGCAGAGTCAGGATTTGGCTCCAGAGCCCATGCTCACTAGATTGCCCCCAAAAAAGTCTCAATTGGAGCTTCACTTAGGGACCCCCATCAATTAATGTGATCAGTGTCCTTAGCAATATACTCCAAATATTCATATATATATTTGAAGTCTGTATATAGATACACACACACACACACACCTTGGAAGGAAAGTGATGACCAACCTAGATAGCATATTAAAAAGCAGAGACATTACTTTGCCAACAAGGTCCGTCTGGTCAATGCTATGGTTTTTCCAGTGGTCATGTATGGATGTAAGAGCTGGACCATAAAGAAAGCTGAGCGCCGAAGAATTGATGCTTTTGAACTGTGGTGTTGGAGAAGATTCTTGAGAGTCCCTTGGACTGCAAGGAGATCCAACCAGTCCATCCTAAAGGAGATCAGTCCTGGGTGTTATTGGAAGGACTGATGTTGAAGCTGAAACTCCAGTACTTTGGCCACCTCATGCAAAGAGCTGACTCATTGGAAAAGACCCTGATGCTGGGAAGGATTGAGGGCAGGAGGGGATGACAGAGAGACAGAAGGGGACAATAGAGGATGAGATGACTGGATGGCATCACCGACTCGATGGACATGGGTTTGTGTAAACTCCGGGAGTTGGTGATGGACAGGGAGGCCTGGCGTGCTGCGATTCATGGTGTCGCAAAGAGTCGGACACGACTGAGCGACTGAACTAGACTGAACACACACACATGTATTTATGCACACAGAGAGAGAAATTTGAATTTTGCTCATTGGAAGCAAAGGGCAAACCCATTTCAAGTAAATTGGTGGAAAATTATGACAGTGTGGACCAGCTTTCTGGTCTGACCTGAGTCAGAGGTGAAGTCTAGAGGTGAAATGGATGGGCCACAGGTTTTTTCAGACCATCCGTCAGTGGTGTCATTTCAACCAGGCTTTTGATAAAAGTTGGGCCGAAACAGGAGGAAGGACGGGGGTGCGGGGGGCGCCTGTGGTGGTGGGAGTGGGGCTCATCGAGTGGCTGGCAGCTGGCAGAGCCCCACACACATGGTGCCCCTTTGGGGAAACTGAGGAGTCTCGCTGTGCTCCTCGGGATGCAGGGTCTCGCCACCCTGCGATGGAAGTGGGCCAGGGGAAGCCCTGCAGGGAAGACTTAAGATAATCCTTCAATGCTGTTTCCAACAACACTAAATGAAATTTTTTTTTTGCAAGTTGGGAATAAGTCCGTTGGTCTAGAACTGACGTTGATGAGGCCACTTTGGAGGGCTTCCCCATCGCCACCACCCCTGGCCTGTCCCATCTGCCTCTTGGTGTCTCCTTGCCTGTTCGTGCTGCTGGGGCCCCTAAGGAGGCAGAAGTGGCAAGATCTAGGTTCCCAGATGTTCAAGCTTTCCATAGATCTAAAGATACCTAAAGGGTATCTTTCGTTAACCCTTTCCAGTCTTTTTAATTTGCCAACAACCCAGGAACTGAGTGCCTTGTAAACAAGCAGAAGGTGTCCTTTCTTCAGGGGAAAAAAATATTTAATTTCATGTAAGATGGAATTCTAAACATAGTCCCTGAGGAATAAATAGATTGTTAGAGAAAGTGTCTTCCTTACTCCCTCAATGAAACCTAGTTGCTGGAAAAATAAAAGTTTTTAGCTTATCAGGATGTGACTACTTCAAAATTCCCTCCAGCCATTCTGAGTCTAAACATCCTGATAATCAGTTGTTCAGTGAAAATCTAAATGATCTCTTCTCCCCACACTACCTCCCCCTTCTCGCAAGAGCAAAGTATTTTTATAACTCTGACAGTGTTTTATGAGCCGACCTACTTTTTTATACAGGGAATGTGTTTTTTGGTTGATTGCCGTGTATGTATAAGTTTGTATATAATTCTCAGCTCTTTAACTTTTTATTTTAAGATAATTGTATATTTATACAAAGGTCACCAAGACTGAGTTCCCATATTACCTTCCACCTGTCTTCCCATAATAACATCTTCATAATCATGGACTACT